CTTTTGCAGAGTTTGGGGTCAAGGGTTGAGGTTTGGGGGCAAAGGTCGAGATTTGGGGTCAACAGTTGAGATTTTGGGTGATTGGTTGTGATTTGGAATGAGTGCTTTAGAGTTGGGTCAACAGTTCAAATTTGGGGTCTGTAGTTGAGATTTGGGACAAAGAGTTGGGGTTTGGGGCCAAAGGTGGGGAATTTTGGGGCCAAACCAGGCCCAAGGTCGGGAGCGACGAGCGAGAGCTGGGTGTGAAGGGGCGGAGCTTTGGGATTTGGGGAGGTTTGAGGACCCCACAAAGGGGGTCAATGGCATCAGCAGTACCCCCCCAACCAGCACAACATGCTTTGGCACAGAAATAGGTGGCGGAATCCTCGTCCCTGAGGTTGTTCATCTGCAGCGTCACCGAGCTCTGCCCGTTGTCCCTGGCGATGCTGAACCGGCCCTTCACCGACGGCGCGTAGTAGGTGCTGGAACCATCCTTGTTGATCCCAGCGACCCATTCCAGCCCCTTCCCGGGGCTCTGGCGCACCCAGATCATGTCGTAGTCGCCGAAGGTGAAGCCGGAGGGGCGGCAGAGGAGCCACAGGGGCTGAACGGGGCAGAGATTGGGGGTCAATGGTTGGGATTTGGGGTCAATGGTTGACATTTGGGGTCAATGGTTGGGATTTGGGGTCAATGGTTGGGATTTGGGGTCAATGGTTGATATTTTGGGTCAATGGTTGACATTGAGGTCATTGTTCAGATTTGGGGTCAGTAGTTAAGATTTGGGTCAATGAGTGATCTTTGGGGTCAAGGGCAGAGATTTGGGACAAAGAGTTGGGGTTTGGGGCCAAAGGTGGGGAATTTGGGGCCAAACCAGGCCCAAGGGCGGGACCAACGACCACCTTGGGCAGCCACAGCATGCAGTGGGTGCGCCAGAGCCCCGGGAAGGGGCTGGAATGGCTCATTGGGATCTACAAGGATGGTTCTGACACCTACTACGCGCCGTGGGTGAAGGGCCGGTTCAGCATGGCCAGGGACAACGGGCAGAGCTCGGTGACGCTGCAGATGAACAACCTCAGGGACGAGGATTCCACCACCTATTTCTGCACCAGGGGTGATGATAATGCTGCTTACTATGCTGGTGGTTTTCCTGACCCCCTTGGTTGGGTCCCCAAACCTCCCCAGACCCTCCCCCCAAAGCTCTGCCCCTTCACACCCAGCTCTCGCTCGTCGCTCCCGACCCTGGGCTGGTTTGGCCCCAAATTCTCTGCCTTTGGCCCCCAAACCCCAACTCTTTGTCCCAAATCTCAACTCTTGACCCCAAACCTCAACCGTTGACCCAAAATTCTTCAACAGGTTAAAAGATTCGGGGTTAACGGTCGAGATTTGGGGTCAACGTTTGACGTTTGGAATCAACAGTTCAGATTTGGGTGCGGAGGAGGAGATCTGGGGAGGTTTGAGGACCCTACAAAGGGAGTCGATGCCATCAGCAGTACCAGCAGCAGCATTAACATATTTGGCACAGAAATAGGTGTCGGAATCCTCGTCCCTGAGGTTGTTCATCTGCAGCGTCACCGAGCTCTGCCCGTTGTCCCTGGCCATGCTGAACCGGCCCTTCACCGACGGCGCGTAGAACGTGCGGGAACCATCCGTCCAGATCCCAGCAAGCCATTCCAGCCCCTTCCCGGGGCTCTGGCGCACCCAGTTCATGTAGTACCTGCCGAAGGTGAAGCCGGAGGGGCGGCAGAGGAGCAACAGGGGCTGAACAGGGCAGAGATTTGGACCAATGGTTGACATTTGGGGTCAATGGTTGTGATTTGGGATCAGTTCCTAAAGATTTGGGTCAACAGTTGAAATTTCAGGTACAGTGGTTGAGATTTGGATCATGGGTTTAAATTTGGGGTCAATGGTTGAGATTTGGGGTCAATGGTTGAGATTTTGGGTCAGTGGTTGAGATTTGGGGTCAAGGGTGGACATTTGGGACAAAGAGTTGGGGTTTTGGGTCAAAGGTGGAGAATTTGGGGTCAAACCAGGCCCAAGGTTGGGAGCGGCGAACGAGAGCTGGGTGTGAAGGGGCGGAGCTTTGGGATTTGG